GCAAAAACCTCTCCCAAAAAAAAGCGCTTTTATTAATCAGTGACATTGTGGAGTAGTCTCTGTGGTTTAAAGACAGTCTTACCCCACAGCCATCTTTTTCCTTTCTGTTTGTTTTTAGGTTTTTGCCATTGGGCGTGTGTGCTCACCATGGAGAGCTATAGAGAGGCAGAGTGAGAAGTCATCTCCCAGGTGGATGGCTGCGCTGCGATCCCTTCTCCTCCATTCTCCTCTCTTGGTCTGGGCTCCCTTCCTTCCTCCTTCCTCCTTCCCGGGGATTTAAGCATGCAGGCACACAGGCCTGGCACGAGTTTCAGGCTGCTGGATCTAGGACTCGAACCGAGGTTGGCCATGCGTAAGTCTAGTGCCTTACGCACCACACCACCTGCTGGCCCCACTGTTACACATTCTTTGAGCCAGTTCACCTGAAAACATCAAAGAAGGAAGAGGCCTCTAGAAAGGGAAGAGGGCCGCTAGAAAGGGAAGAGCTGTGGCCGTTGGTGTGTCTCAGGAAATAACTTATCTCACAAACTTGGGGTAGATGCCTTCTGTTTACAATCCAAGAATTGCGACATGTGTGGTTGACATTTCCTGTCAGGTCTGGGGCTCAGCGTCCCCGTGGGAAGAACGAGGTGGCCCGTGCTCCCGCCTGCACCAGCAGACCACGGCGTGGCCGCCCCAGGGCCTCTGCCTCCACGCGGCATGCGTCTCTGCATCTTCCCTGCGTGCCCCTGAAACAGCCACCGAGTCCTGCAAATCTCACTGCTATTTTCAGACCTGCTTTCACTTAGAATAATTAGTTCCAATCATTACTCACAAGTTTAGTGCCTAATATAGAAAGAACTTATTTTATTTGCCCTAAAACTGTCTTTGAGCTTCAAAGAGCCAGAATTCCAAGAATGGCTGGGCTTGGGTGCTCAGTGATGTGTACGGGGTGGACAGAGTGAGCACGGCCTGCCCAGAGCTGGCCTCCCGGGGTGGGCCCTGACCCCACCTGCCCCCACTCAACCGAGGGCCCACACAGCAGCCGGCCCAGCTGTGCCTGGGAGCAGCTCCTAGGCTTCCCTGCGTCCCCGGTGTCTGCTCCGTGTGCGGTTCACCAGCGAGCCATCACCCGAGTGCATTTTAAAAATGATTGAGATGCAGTTTTATAACAGCCCGCTAGCCACACCGCCATTCGGAAGGGAGCTCAGCGGCATTTAGCGTGCAGCTGTTCTGTCTACGTGAGGCATTTTCCAGATCCCAAAAGGGAGCCACATACCTGGGAGACAGGCTCTGCTCACCCCTCCCCTCAGCCCCTGGCAGCTACCAGTCTGTACTCTGCCCTCCAGCTTTACCTGTCTGGGGTATTTGAAACAGACGGAGTTACACACTGTGTAGCCTTCGGCATGTAGCTTTATTCACCTGCTACCATGCGTTCGGGGTTCCGTGTAGCCTTCGGCATGTAGCTTTATTCACCTGCTACCATGTGTTCGGGGTTCCTCCATGTCCTGGCATGATGTGGTATTTTGTTCCTTTTCGTGGCTGAGTAATATTCCACCGTGTGGATATACCACACTCTGTCCTTTGGTCTGTGGTAGACATTTGGGTTGTTTCCACCTTGAAGCTGTTGGGAAGAGACCTGCCGTGGACCGCCACGTGCAAGCATTCGTCTGCACCTTTGCTGCTTCTGGGCCAAGTCACGGTTATCTTCTAGTGACCTCTCAAGTCTGACTTCTACAGTCCTCCAGTCAAGCTACCCTCATCGCTTTCTGCACTTCCCACGTGGTGGCGGTTGTGGTTTTGCCAGAGGGCACACATGCCCTCAGGAGAGAGAGAGACAGAAGGAGAGCACCCCGTGGGGCCTGGTCGTACTGCCAGCCCTCTTCCCTCCATTTCCCCACCCCTTCAGGACCCTGGGCACATACTCACCTTCCTGGAATACTTGTGAAGCCACCGGGCCCAGGATTTGAACCTCAGTCAGAAGGTTCGGTTGCTCCTGGAGGGCCCTGGGGAGCCCCTGGCCGGGTACCGTCAGCCTTCTTGCTCAGGAGCCATGTGATGTGTCTCTGGGAGGACAGCAGGGTCGCTCCCCGAACCACAGCGGCCGGGATGGGTGCGGGCTCGGGCCCTGGTTCTTTACAGCGACCTGGCTGATTGCAGGCCACGAATGTGTCGTCTGCCACCTGCCCCCTCTGCCCCGAAATGGCGAGCGCTACCCTGAGTTGCCCTCTGGTCCCCCGGACGGGGCGTGCTGAGGAGTGGCACTGAAGAGGTGCATTGTGACAAATGAGTCCACAGCTGTTGCCCCCTTGACAGAGAAGGGCGGCCAAGCCTTCAGAGCAGGGGCGTCAGGCAGCATGACCCGCATGGCATGGCCGGCCAACCCTGGCCCCTGCAGAGGAAGGCAGAGAGCTCCCTGTGAACGCTGTCATCAGGGCCAGGTGACCTGCGGCACCGGTGACAAAGCCGTCTGCGGCGGTGGCTGGGGAACCCGAAGGCCAGCGGGTGCGGGCGCAGGGTGCAGGCGCAGGGTGTCCGAGACGCTTTCTGAGCTGTCTCCCGGAGTGCGTCTGCGTCCTGGTTCGCCCTTGCACTGCTGAGAGGCGCCCGAGCTGGGCGACTTACCCCAAAAGAGAGCTTTGTTTACCTCAGGGCTCTGGTGGCCGGGAAGCCTGGAGGTGGCGTCGTGGGCTTGGTCAGCGCAGGCCAGCACGGTGGAGAAGGTGGGGGCTCAGGGCGCGTGAGGGTACCGTGTTTCTGTCTCTCGTTTCTTGTAAACCTACAGGAGTGCAGTCACGGCCCGCCTAAACCCCCACCTGGCCATGTTACCCCTCGAGCTCGTCCGCCCTTGCCCAGGGGCATGGCCTCGGGCGGGGGGGCTCCAACCACGTGTGATTCCGGAGGGCACCGCACACACCGGCACTGCGTCCTGGGCTCCTTTCCCCCACCCCTCCCTCCCCAGCTACCCCGTTGCAGGCTACCCCGTTGCAGGCCAAGGGCCCCAGTGCCCCCTGTGGTGGGCTGCCTGGATGTAGCATTTTGGGGTAGCCACTCATTGCAGCTGTGCACTAAGGGGTCTGAAGGTGGGACTTGGGGACATTAAGGAAAGCACACAGCATTTTTTGAAGTGTGGGCCCCGTTCTGGGCGCACCGAGCCTTTGGCAGGTTAACTAACCCGTGTCCTCTCAGTGCCAGTTCTAGAGCTGGAGGTGCCCTTGGATGGGGTCATCTGGTCCCTTCCTTGTCCTGTGCAGACGGGGCGACCAAAGCCCAAAGGTCCTCTGCGATGCACCCAGGGACCCCGAGCATGTCCCTGCCCCTCTCCTTCCCCAAGGAAGCTCCCAGCACTGCAAAGAACGCCTGGTGCCCACCAAGGCCGGCAGGCGGAGGGGATGGCCTCCACTCCTCCCCCAGGGCTCCTGGCCCTTCGAACGGCCCTTCCAGGCAGCACCGAGGCGCTGTGGTGTGAGGGCGTCACTGCAGGTCGGAGCCCGAGACACTGCTTTCTGTTCCCCATGGGCCTGCCCCCTCGGATGCCCCTGCTTGTGCCTGAGCGTGGTGGCCGCACTGCGCCCTGGCTGGGCAGAGCAGCAGGGTGAGCACTCGGTGCTGTTTCCTCTGGGGTAGGAAGGTCACCCTCGGTGACGGGCAGTGACTGAGCGAGGGCAGGCTCAGCTCCCCGATTCCTGGTATCTGCACGTCGCACGCACTTTCAGAACCCACACCGTGCTCTGTGCTCTGTGCTCCGCAAACTTGACGGCTGTTGTGTGTCAAAGAGAAGCCACAGCTTTTTAAAAGGCAGTGGAAGGTGGACCTTCTCTCTGTCTCCTCGACGTCCACGCCCATCGTGTGCGAGATGACCTCTGCCCAGAGGTGAGCAGGCCTCCACGTGCCAGCGACCTGGAGGCACCGAGCCCCAGCGGACAGAGGAGGAGGGGAGACAATCCACAGCGAGAGCGTCTCCGACCGACCGCACAGTGTGGTCACAGTCGAGCTGGGGCCGGGCAGTGGCGCAGTGGTGGCACAGCGGTGACGTGCTAAGATTCTGAACATGCTGAGCGCACGTGCCCACAGTTCAGGGCCGGCTGTGGCAGGGGCAGGTTGGGGGCTGGCTCGCTCGCTCTCTCTCACGATCTTAGAAGTAATAATCTTCCTTTACGAAGTGAGACAGGGACTTGCAAAGTGCTCCAAGGGAAGCTTCCCCTTTGCATGCATTTGAAGGCCGAGGTCTTCCTTCTGGTTCCCTAGTTTTCCGGCAGATGCCCAAGTGCCTCCCTGGGCAGCCCGCTCTGGGCCGGGTGGGGGACCACGGCGAGCGGGACGGGGGTTCACATTGGAGCCAGGGGTCATTTGTCTGCTTCTGCAAGCCTGACCCCAAGGAGGAAAGGAACCACGTAGCTCTCTCTCCCTCCTACGTTTGACACTGACCCAGACCCCCCCGGCTCTGAACCCACTGGTTTTCCAAGGTTGATAAAGGATTGTGACAGGTCTTGCCGAACTGTCCGGGCAAGCATCGATGCCCACACGTCCTCAGGTGGTCACTGGCTTCTCGACGGACAGCCGTTTCTCAGTCTGCTCATGTCATCGTCTGGTCTTCTGGGGACAGGGACGAAGGTCCACCCATCTCCAAATAAAGCCAATGACAGAACCATGCGGTGTGGCTCCTCGGGCTGCCCC